CCCCCCTCCTCCTCCCCCGCCGCAAAGTCCCCCAGCACATAGTTGTATATTTTAGTTGCAGGTCCTTCTGGTTGTGCTGTGTGGGACACCACCTCAGCATGGCTTGATGAGCGGTGCCGTGTCCATTCCGAGGATCTGAACCGGCAAAACCCTAGGCCACCGAAGCGAACTTTCCACTTGGCCCTGGGGCCGGCCCCATCATCTGTTGCTTCTTGTTTGGATTTGTGGGCACAGAAGCGTACATCATACCAGCCCTCCCTTGTATTTACCATTTTCCTGTGAGGAGGGTTAGCAGAATATCACGTATCATAAGGAGAGAACTCCCATCTGGCAGTCTCTTCGCTTGTGGCACAAAAGCTGCCAGAGTAGGAAACAGAGCACGGGGGAGCAGCAAGGCAGGTGTGGTCCAAGGCATGTGAGGGGGCCCCTACAGCCATGCAGCCTGGTCCTGAGACCCTGCTACATGGAGATCTCCAGCTAAGAAACCAGGTATTTTAGTTACCTGTTAGCTCTTAGGTTTGTGCAGATGATATGTTTTTTTTTTTAAAGATTGGCACCTGAGCTAACAACTCTTGCCAATCTTCTTTTTTTTTTTTTTCCTGCTTTTTCTCCCCAAATCCCCCCAGTACCTAGTTGTGTATTTTAGTTGTGGGTCCTTCTAGTTGTGGCATGTGGGACACCGCCTCAGCATGGCCTGATGAGCAGTGCCGTGTCCACGCCCAGGATCCGAACCAGCGAAACCCTGGGCTGTGGAAGTGGAGCGTGCAAACTTAACCACTCGGCGGTGGGGCCAGCCCCAGATGATGTGTTTTTAGTTTCATTTTGATTAATAATAATAATATATATTTGTTGGGTTTACAAAACATTTTTCCTTATGTTATTTTATTGGGTCCTTTCAATGACTCTAGGATGTATTTACCATCATTTTACAGGGTGATGGCAAAGAATTGAGGTTCAAAGAAATGAAACAATCCAAAACCATATAAGCCAGTGAATGAGAAAACCAGGACTGGTATTCAGGTTTTTTGATTCCAAATTCTGCCTTCTTTCTATGACAACCACCCTCTCTCTTATTACCATGATGATTTTAAATAAACTGAAACTTGGGGCCGTGTTCAATTTCTAAGAATGGATAATGGATATTTTTGGAGGACGTAGCATGTGCCGGGCGTTGTGCTTTGTGGTTTACTGAATGATTTCACTGAGTCCTCACACAAACCACTGTGAGTCATTGCCCCCATTTCACAGATGAGGATGTCAATAACTTGACCCAAGTCGCGTGGCTTGTAAATGGCAAAGCCGGCATTTGAACCCAAGTCTTGGACTCTGAAGCTCAAGCTCTTGACTACAGCATTGTGTTGCCTCCCTGAGATCTGGTTTAATCTTGATGACATTGAGAATGGCCTTTGAAGCCAGAAAGTGAGAAATCGGAGGGCGGAGTCCCATAGGTGCCTGGAAAACATAGTAATGGATCCTTGAAGAACTCAGGGCAGGCAGGGCTCGCTCAGGCTCGTGTAACCTGATCTGCTGATGCAGGAGAGCCTGTGATGGGCTGTGCTAGGGTGAAGCCTAGGGCCTTGGAAAGACTTGTGGCTTTTACTGTTCTTCCTTTTACAGGCAATTAGAAGACAGAAGGGCTGCTTAGGAAACTGTAAACTCCTGAGCTGATTTTAAAATGTCCAAGGATAAGCTGCCATGTCTGAAAGTAGACAAAATATAATTCCATACCTCTGATTAGCCCCTTCTTTACGTGGCTGTAGTGCTAGAGAAAAATGACAGTACCTTTTTTGCGGGGGGCGGGATTTAAAAATGAGTACTGTCTTAGATTATATCTTGTGTATGTGTGCTTTTTAAAAAGGGAAGTTGCTTCTCTCACTCCAAATATAGTCTCATTATTACAGCAACAAAGAGCTCCAGCACTAAGTTATTGCACCAGTTATGTTTTGGAGTGTCGAAGAAGGGAGGAGAAGCATTTGGATTTAGAAAATTAAGGAATACAAATTCCCATTTGTAGGGTGACTATATGATTTATTGTGCCAGCCAGGATGCTTCTGAGAGTAAAAGAGGGCGCTATGCCTAGTTATACCAGGACAACAGCCTAGATTGCCACTGTCCCAGAGCAACAGGACATATGGTCACCCAGCTTTCCTGAGTCATGTTTTGCAAGGAAGGGGTTTCTATAAGCTGAATGCCATATGTTGTCAATTATTACCTTCCCACCCCACTGCTTTTTTTTTTTCCAGATGAGCCACACAGTTATCCAGGGATCATCTAGATATAGAGATACCATTCACTGTCCTACTACTCTGACATCATCACCAGGCTGTCCTGGCTCTTACTTCTTTGGCACACAATGCAGAGAAGGACCTGCCTGCTGAGTGTGCAGCCTAAGGAGGAGAGCCAGTGCGCAGCACGCTGTGCTGGCTCAGGGAAGTCAGAAGTCACAGGCTCAACCCTTGGCCTGGCTCCTTTCCACGTGGGAGAACTTCGAGAATTTACTTTTCTTCTGGGAACTTCAATTTTCCGTTCTGTGGTATGGGCATAATGGTAATAGCAATCTGTCTTTTGAGTTTTTTGTGAGGATCAAAGAGCAGACAGGCATGATAAACAGTATAGCATTATACAAAGGTTGGTTGGGAAGTGTTGCTTTTACTCTCAACCAACTGCGGAACAAGTTATTTCACCTTTGTCAGCCTCCTTTTTCCTTATCTGTAGAAAAGGGAGCATTGTATCTACTTCTCCAAAAGATTGATTAAATACGTAGAGTACCTACTCTAAATAAACATGAATTAGCTTCTCTTTAAATTGGGCTGTGACTGGAACTTTGTAACTGAGTGATAATTCGATTCTTTTTCTCAGTATAGATGTCAAGGGGATGGGCGCTCACGGTCTTAAATGCCCCACTTCAGGCAAAGGAACTCTGGTAGGCTGTATGGACCACTGCGAGTGGCTCCAAGGCAGGAGTGCGGATGCTGGCTGGTGCAGAAGATGGCAGTGGCAGGAGAATTCAGGGGACAGGCTCAGGAGTGGCAGACTGTGAGCCTGCCAAGAAACAGCACAGGGAGCGCCTCCCCTCACACTGCTAAAAATACTGCGGGGAAAGTAATTTCTCTGTTCCTATTTTAGAAATCAGAGGCAGAGCCACCATATTCATGTTTGGATTCTGGTCAGCCTTCTGGTTTAAGTTTTCAATTTCAAGAGAGATTTTTCTGGGGAGAGTTAAAACAATCTCTGTAGAGTTTCAGAATCGAAATTTGAAAATGCCGTTAAGGAAGATTAATGTGTTGGGCATTATTTACGTAATTACTAGCAATTTTTTAGAAAGGTTTTATTAGAGACAATCAAGATGTTTTAGTGACAAAATCCTTCCGGCTGTGTGCTTTCCTATGAAAGTCAATGATTATATATAGTTACATAATTTTTATTTAACTGAAGATAGATTTATAAAAGGATATTTTCCTCTTTCTCTTCCTTTTCTTCTTAATTTTCCATTGCTGCCTTCTTTTCCTTCCTTCCTCTTCTGGAACCTTCCTTCTATGCCTTGTTTTCCCTCCCTCCTTCCTTCCTTTCTCGGTGACTTGTCCACACTGGGATAGAAACCTTCTCTGTCCATGTGCCACAGTATGTACATCTCTGATGTATTCTGTCTGGCTTTGCTTCAGTCTTTCACTGCAGCTTTTGTTTCCTGCTCTCTTTCACAAGCATTTCCTGAGTAGCTATTTCTGCAGAGCACTGTATCAGGCCCTCGGAGAGGGCTGGGGAAAACACAAGGATGAGTAGCACCTGATTCTCCCTCTCAAAGGATCCTACAGTGTAGCGGGAAAGACATGAAGTTCAAAACCAAAACAGCACAGAAATGCACAGGAGGTGGGAGAGTCCTGAGTGTAGAAGCAGGTCACTTTACCAAAAATCAACTTGCCAAAATCGTTTTACCAAATAATCAATATACTGAAAGGCCAATTCATTGAAAATCAATTTGCCATTGGCCCCGAGCTGCCAAGGATTGCCCAGCAGAAATAATTCACCCTAAGGTTCAACAGGAGCAAGCTTGGTATTAGAGAGGGGCCACTTTTAAGTTCTGCGCAGGAATGTAGCTGTGGTTGAGAGTCTTCTTGAACCTGGCGGTGGGAGAGCATTTTGTATACAAAGTTGCCGTAATCAGAAGCATGGTTTGCTTAAACAAGAGACTACTTTTTCATCTTACTCCTGATATATCAGTTATGGTTCTAGCAGGAAACAGATGGCACCCACAAACTTGGAAATGTGAAGATAATCTAGTAAAGGGACGTCTTTCAAGGCATGGGAGGGATTAAGGAAAGCAGCAGATGATAGTGCGATGCCCTGCGGGTAGCGAGAGCAGGGAGCCACGGCCACTGGAAGCTGGCAGGGGTAGCTATGTGGATAGGGCCAGCCAATGTAGACGGATTCTGTGGTAGTCACTTCTCCTCTCTCACGAGTGCCTCTTATTGGCCAGACCCAACTGTAAACTGAGGAAAAGGATTCCGAGGCACAAAGAAGGGGGAGAGTGGATCTAGAGGGCATGGGGCATATCAGGTTGCAATTCAATAATGTGCCACCAAATTACCATTTTATTCAGTCAAGGAAGAATATGTTTGTCATTTCGGACTTAAAGCTCAGTGTCACTCCGAAAGTTTCTCAGTGGTACGAAATTTATTCACTAAGAATTGAAATGTGCAACAGGGTACCTGTTAAAATTATATCTAGCAAGAGAAATTCTCAGTAATTCCCTATGTAGGTGGACACAGCAAACAATTTTGGAGTAGATCTTTGTTCAGAAAAGAGTGATTTGAGTGAAACTCTCTAGTATGCTTAATGCAAGGCCTTTTTGAAGGGTATAATAGAATCTTTTGTTTGGCTTAACAAGGCAAATCTGTCTATAGAGCTCTTGGAGTCCAACGGACCAGTTTGCATTGGGTGCCCCAGACCCATCACAAAGGCATCACAAAGAGACCTAGTCTGGCTCAGGAGGAGTCTGAAGCAGGAGAGCTCGTCATAAAGCAAGCTTACAGGGAGCTGGCTCCATCAGAGCGTCTGTGCAGCTGTGGACCACTGTGGGCACCGGGCTGTGCAGGGCCAGCGTTCAACAGCGACACCATGTGATGGACAGAGGTGTGGCCCTAGTGGGGACTGCATTTCTTTCTTCCTATCTAGACTCATTCCCTTCCTTGGATTAATGAATCTCTGAGATCCTTGGGAATCTCAGAGAAGAGGGACATCTTAGAGTTCCTGAAGAAAAGTGATAGATAGGGCTTTGAGGGATGAATTAGAGTAATAAACAAGATGTGATTTGATTTGTGTCTTAAGCTGGTAAAGCAGATCATACTTGCTACAGGAGAAGAGTTCAGTGAACAAAGCTCTGTTCACTCCTGACTAGATGTTCCAAGTGTCATTTTTAGGCAGAGGCAGGAGCAGTGGTTAACGTGGGAGGGTGAAGCAACAAGAATAATTTGTGCCACTTCTGAGGGCAAAGGCAAACAAACCGTCCCAGGGTAATTTGGGGATATAAAAGGTGGCCAAATCATTTTGGGACTTTTAAAGAAATTCCGTGAAATGTGACTATTTTTCTTTCTGCTCTCAGTCTTGCGCATCAACTTTAAGTTCTGGAAAGGAGGTTTAAAGAAAAGTGTTAGAGTTGAGGTGTGTTTAAGAGAGAGTACCGCGAATGTAAGTTATTTATTATCAGTATGCACTTGGTGGGTACAGTTTTCTTCTTCTCCAGTCGCTGCCCTCAACTATGCAAGGGTGGACCTCTGCTTCTTCCTGGTATGGAACCCATGGAAACATCTTGGGCCAGTTTGATAACTTCCCAGTTATTTTCAGTTACTTAAACTCAGGACAGCCTAATCTAGTTTAAAACTCCATCTTATAGTCAATTTGAATCTCTGCCCGCCCCAGCCAGGCCTTGGTTCAGGGGACCTGGAGAACGAAGAGGAGTGGGTTTACCTTTTCATTCCTCCTCTGAGTCCCGTATCTTGGAATTGTGTGTGTGTGTGTACACACGTGCACGCGTGTCCCTGCATGCACGCACATTGGTCTGGCTCCCCTTCCGCCTGCTCTGTTCTAGGCTCTAGCTACTTGCACATATTGGGGAGGAGGAATGCAGTGATGTCTGGGTTTGCCTTCCACAGCAGGAGCCTGTCTGAGGAGGGAGGCTGCCCCTGGTCTTACTCTGGCTCGGTTGGCTTCCTGTGGTACTGGTGGCTTCAATCCCTAGGGTGGTTTCTGCAAAGTTCAGTTTCATTCCAACCCCCTAGTGCTGAAGGGCCAGCTGTGCCTCTCTTGGTCCTGGACAATGGTCTACACTCCTAAGCTTCTTTCCAGTTGGGATGTCACTTCATCCATGTCCTTCTGGGCACATCCTTGGCTTCTGCTCTCTCTCTGTCCTTTGCACTCCTTCCTGTGGGGCCACGAGAGCTGCGGAGATTCTCTGCCACACACTTTGAAGGCTACAGGAATCTGGGATGGAGTAGAGGGCCGCCCCTACATTCTTTCCAGGCTCATTAACTTCACCATAGTTCAAACCTTGCATCTTCAAAAATCTCCAGATGAAAAGCAGGCCTTGCTCTCTAAGTTTGGGTATGTTTCCAAATGCTAACGGCCCCATGTGACGGTCTTCCTCTGAATTTATCATGCTGTTTTGCTCTGATGGAAGCATTAGGGGGTTCTGCAGATTTTTCAACTCAGCTAAGCCACCCAGAGAATGAAAAATCACTTGCCCCTTCTTGCACAACTTTACCAGTGATTTCCCTGGATCCCTTTCCCTTGCCGGGGCTGGAAGAGGGTCGGGAGGCAGCGAGAGTGGCTTCAGATGAGGAGGGTCTTTCCTCAGGAGTCAGAAGCGTCAGGGCAAATGGGAAGATGTCTGTCCAGCTGAGGAACTGAACCTCCTAGGAAATAAATGATCTAAGGAAGCAGAGTCAAGTGGGCCCCAGGCTGCTGCTCAAGTAGCTATGCCTCAGGCACTGAAGAGAAGGGAGGATTTCAAGTATTGCTGGGTTTCTGTCTTTCAGTGTCCCCTCACCCAGACCCCAAAGGACTTGTGTCTTAATTCCTGGGTGGAGGGGAGTGGGGAGGAGCGATTTGAATAACAAAGAAAGGAAGGGCTGTCTCTACACAAACTCTCTTTGAAACAGTGGGAGTACAAGGCAGCATTGTTTTGAGAGCCCTGCAAAAGAATAACAAAGGGGGAGAGGCCTCCGCAACTTGGGCGCCCAGGGCAAGGGTCTGGAGGGTCCAGAGCTTTGGCGCTCTGGCAGCTCCTGCACAGCAGTGGTGCCTCAGTTCTGGCACGGCCCCCAGGGCAGCTCATCTCTTCCACAGCGGCAGGAGGAGAGGGGCAGGAGGAGAAGGCCCCATCAGTGGCAAGGAGGGGCATCAAAGGTTTGGAAGCAATGGGAAATGGCGCCCTTGGCACAGATACCTATGCCCTTCCCTCGGGGAGGGGCAGAAGTAGCATCCAGTGTCAGCTATATGGAGTTCTGCAGGACACAATGGCTTTGGTATGTAGGGGAGGAAAGCTAACTTTCCCTCTGTCCATCTGAGCTCTTAGCTGAGATCCTTATGATAAAAGAAAGATTAACAAAAGAAAAACAAACAGAAGTCTATTAACACTTGTACCTCATGTATACATGGAGATAACCAGGGGAAAATGAGTAACTGCAAGGTGGCTTAGAATTCAAGATTAAATACCCTCTTGTTTTAAAATTTAATTTTATGGTTATTTTTTCTTCCAGTTTTGTTGAGATGTAATTGGCATACAACACTGTACAAGATTAAGATGTACAGCATAAGGACTTGACACACATGTATTATGAAATGAGTACCACAATATCAATACCATCTTAACGGAGGAAAGGGGTGAGGGATGTAGGCCTCTGACGGGAAAATAAATGGTTTTTAGGAAACATGGATGGGCCTTTAAACTAGATGGGAGGTATGATAGTTTGTGGCAAAGTTTGTCTGGGTGTGGTGTGGTTTCTAGTCTCCTCTCCTGTGACAGAATCCATCTTCCCTGGTTGATGAAACTCTGGGGGGAGAGCCTTTGTGACAATTGGGTTCCTTGTCGAGGTTCTGTCTTCAGGCAGATAAGGGGAGTTCAGAGAAAGCCTTTGTCACCAACTAGTTACCCTGAGGAACTCAAGGGTGGGTTTAGATATATTTTAACTGTTTTTCCAAATTGTTCTTTTCCCTTTTGTTGTGGGAAGGAGATGCAATCACCAACCACCCTGAGCCAGACCAAGCCTCACCATGAGAGCTATGCCTATGACCTTTGCCTTATTTCTAATGCTAAGATCTCTCCAGGAGAAGCTTAGACCTTGAGTCCGTAACCTGCAGTGTGTGTGGAAGCGTGTTTTCCCGCTGAGCCTGCTCAAGTGAATGCCCACGTCTCCTTTTTGAATATTCATTCCCCATACGAAAGAAATGTCTCTGCTTCCCTTTGTTCCGGGACCCTGTGACCCCAGAAATGATTCCTTATGGTCTCCTATTTGCCGCAAATATACTTTACCATGTGAGACAACTACTTCTGGTGGAGACTCTGATTTAACTCACCAGGAGGGAACCCACTTTGGTTTTAGAACACTGTTCCCTGCATTTGCTGGTTTTCAACTGCATTCAGCTGAAAATAATCAATATATGAAAGTGGTGTATTTTGGAGTGGCGTGTCCTGAACTTGTACAGTCATATTTTGGGGTGGTATATTCTATCCTTCAGGCCCATCCCACCAGCACTGATGCCAGGCCAGCAGGCACACACAGAGGGGCCATCTCATGGCTGAGTGGGACACACACCTCAAAAGCAGAGGGCACGAACGCCACCTGAGCAGGGGAAGGAGAAGTGGCTGTGAGGATTGTTCTTGATAACTCTAAGACCCAGAAATAATTGCAGGGAGAAGGAACTGGGCAGAGAACTGGAGTTTCCAAAATCTAGAGTGAGGTTAAGGGGGTCAGATGTACAGGTAAAGGTGATTGACAGTGGAGTTGCCTTCACACATGAAGAGAGTACGATTTATGTGTATATCCATATGTCTACTGAGGGGGAGAATACGTGATCCCAAAATGTGCCACTGTGGCATGTGGATTATTTAGAGCTGAAGGCAATCAACACCCAGCAGACTCAAGAAAAACTTTTACGTCTCCATTAACTACCTTAAAGAGTTTAAATAGGGTGCTTGGCTCAGAGAGAGAGCCATGACCGGAGATAACTTTTATCTGAGTGACTTACCTGTCTGGCAGGGCAGACATCTAATTACCGAACATCTGCTCTTCTTCTGTCCTGTGAATCACCGTCCTCGCCTCTGAAGCCCCAGGCCCCTATCCCATGCCTCAGCTCAGGGTGGCATATAAGCCTCAACTGCCCCACTTGCCCTTGGGTCTCATATGTTTATGGGGCTCCCTTATGTAGGAATTTAAATGTGTTTTTCTCTTGTTAATCTGTCTTATGTCAATTTGATTATTAGACCAGCCAAAGAACCTATAAGAGCAGAAGGAGAATTTTCCTCCCCTACACTGTAGTTAAAATTTTTCAGGGGCCAGCCTGGTGGTGCAGTGGTTAAGTTCGCACGTTCTGCTTTGGTGGCCTGAGTTTCGCCGGTTCGGATCCCGGGTGCAAACATGGCACTGCTTGGCAAGCCATGCTGAGGTGGCATCCCACATATAAAGTAGAGGAGGATGGGCACGGATGTTAGCTCAAGGCCTGCCTTCCTCAGCAAGAAGAGGAGGATTGGCAGCAGTTAGCTCAGGGCTAATATTCCTTAAAAAAAACAAAATGCAGGAGAAGAAGAGAGAGGATGAGATAGATAAGGAGAGTTTCTGAAAGGAGAAGTCCTAGAGATTTATCACAGACAAATAGCCCAATGGGCAATGGAGTAATGGGGTGGCAATATTTAATTCAATCTAAAACATTTTCTGTGGTTATAGCCAGTGCTCCTAGATGAAACTATCGGCAACTTTTCAGTGAGACTTACTTTCTTAAGGCAGGAAATCAACGATCTCTTTTTCACCTGGCTTGGTAAACTTTAACAACCAAAACAAAGCAACAAATTCAGAATTCATAGCTTTGTAAAGATGTCGTTTTAATTGCTGTAGAGATACCTGCAGCTGAAGTTCTTAGCTTGGAGTTTATTTTGGCCCACAATGATCCGACTCAATTGAAAAAACAGGATTGATTTGTATAAAAAAAGAACTATTGAAGACTCTTGTAAATACTGTCACATAATTTCTGAGGAATTTGGCAGGAATGATCCGAGGCTAACTCACTTGGTGAGGGGAGTGAAAAAAATGCAAATTTACAGTAGTTTGGAAATTGAGAGGAAGAATGGTGACAGAGACAGATGGGATAAGAATTTCCTTCACAATTACATTTTCTCTAGAAATACTGGGAAAAAATGGTAGACATTTTAAAAATAAAGTTTAAATAGGAATAAATGAAATAAGAAAGAAATACTGGGTTCTGAGGGGTCCTGAAGAAACATTGGAGTTGTCTGTTGCTATGGGCTAATGGAATGATAGGAAAATTTGAAGATAGGTAGATCTGAAGATTAATTTCAAATTTAAAGTTCCTTTAACTTGGCTGTAATGTCAAAAAGTTTTGGTAAAATAAATTAGAAGCTTACTTGGAAGATCAGATTTGCATTAAGAAAAAATATTTTATTTAAAAAAACACATGTTTTCTATATCCTTCACCTGGTAACGAGGGTCTTAGAAATGTTCTGGAAAAAGCCCATACTGCCACTGTTCACTATACTCCTTTGAATTGTGGGGGACTGGAATTGGCCACCCCAAGATATGTTTCTTTGGCATGAGGATTATTTTGGGCTGGTTACTTTTAAAAACTGCAGACAGGAAAGAAACTCTGAAAAGTAGAAATTACCCTTTGTAAGAGACATTTACTTTTGTAAGGGAAATCTCCATCTGTACAGGTGTCTCCCTCTCTGTGCCAGGAAGAAGGGGGGATGACCTTCTCTCTAAAAACCCTTATCAATGCGGAAGGCAAGGACTTAAATCTGCATAATAACCATACTCTTGTTTACTGTACTTTTCTGGCAATCTCCCGTAACTGACTCCCCTCACCCTCTACATCCTCCTTTGTAGCTGGAGATGGTATTGAAGATGAGAACCTCTACCGTTTTGGTGAGTTGCCCAGTTTTCCTGAGTCTCTCCCATATATACGTTATAAAGCTTTGTTTGATTTTCTCCTTGTTATTCTGTCTCATGTGAATTTAATTTGTAGCCCGGCCAGAAGGACCTAGAGTGGGTAGAGAAAATGTCTTCCTCCCCTACAGAAGTAATTTTTCTGCTTGTCTCAACACAGTGTTTGTTCCTCTCTCTTCTGGTTTGTTTTTCCACTTGTGTTGCATCATGGAGTCAAGGACACTAGCCAAACACCTGCCATCCCGGCTTGGAGCTTCAGGGTCATCTGTTTCTTTTTCCCCATAGTCAACCAGAGCCAGGTCTGGGGCTCTCCTTCTTGCACTCTCCCCTCATCCCCCCGCCAGCTGCATCTTAGCTTTTGTTCTGTCTCCACTCCACTTTGTCCTCACCCCAGTCCTTTCTGTTCCTTGCTGCTAAATTAATCTCCGCACTCAAGAACAGTTCCAGGCACTCCTCTGCTCATAAACCTAGAGTGGCTCCTTCTCTCCACTGGAGGAAACCCAAACTCCTTGATGAAGAATGTAAGGTCCCTTAAAGCCCCTTTAAGGATTTAAAGTCCCATAAGGTCCCTTTTCAACCTCATCTCCCACTATTTCCCTTCACACGTGTTTAGCTCTGGCCCAGACCCAACTATTTCTATGCGATGCTGACTTGAAACTTTCCCTGATTGCTGCCAGGTAAACAAAAACTCCACTTCTCCGAATTCTCACAGCACTTTCCTTGTACCCCTCTTCTATGGCATTTACCACATTTTTTGTTGTCTTATAATTTATAAGGAGTGTGTTTGTATCTCCTCCACTAGACTGTATACTGAGTGAGTATGTACATCTGTGTCTGTCATTTTTGTACCCACCTCCTCCATGTTTTGGACAGTGTAGCTCCTGAATAAATACTTAAAATACATTAATTATGCTGGGTTCAGCTGGGAATATTAGACCAAACTAGGTTCACTGGACCAGCTCTATATTGGAATTAAATCTAGGGTTGGTCTTGAACGTAATTTATTTTTCAGATCTTTTATAAATCAGGCCAAATATAGGACCAGCCTTTAGCTTTTAGGACATTAATAATTCTGGACCCAATGCCAATGTGTGGGGGAGTTCCCCACACATCCAAGCAATTCTCTGACACCAGCTGGGTGTCCTACAATTCAACTCAATTTTGACACTACCTACTTGGAGATAGTGTCAGATCCCACAGATTAGGGGCTCAGTCTCAAAAGAGACTACACACCCACCCACCCGCTTCAGACAACAATCACAAGTCCAGGTTGTCACCTGTGCTTCTGACCCACTGGCTATAGATTGGAGGTTCCCACAACCTCCTCCTTGGGTTTGATTAATTTGTTAGAGCAGCTCACAGAACTCAGAGAAACATTTTACTTACTAAATTGCTGGTTTATTATAAAAGGATATAACTCAGGAACAGCCAGATGGAAGAGACGCATAGGGCAAGGTATGGGGAAAGGGCATGGAGGCTCTATGCAAACCTGTCTTTCTCCCCACATGGCCCCATGTTCACCAACCCAGAAACTTGCCAAACCCTGTCCTTTTGGGGTTTTATGGAGGCTTCATTACAGAGGCATGATTGATTAAATCATCCGCCATTGGTGATTAAACTCAATCTCCAGCCCCCCTCCCCTCCCTGGTGGTCACTGGGGTGGGATTGAAAGCTCTAACCCTCTAATCACATGGTAGGCTCAAATGTCAACCAGCCCCCATCTTTAGGGGCCTTCCAAAAGTCACCTCATTAATACAACAGGACAAACTCCAAGAGTTTTAGGACTTCTGTGCCAGAAACAGGGAGGAAGACCCACTGTACAGTCATGTACCACATAACAGTGTTGGTCAACAACAGATGGCATATTTGATGATGGTCCCATAAGATTGGTACCATACAGCTTAGGTGTGTAAGTACCTAGGTTTATGTAAGTACACTCTATTATGTTCACACACTGACAAAATCACCTGACAATGCATTTCTCAGAATGTATTCTCGTTGTTGGGTGACACATGACTATGTATTTCTTGTTGCGAATCACAATATCACAGACATCCTTGAAAAGACTGGACTCCCTCAGGTTTTTCTTGTCCAAGCCCCAATTCAGAAAGCATCCATGGCTCGGGGATTAGTCTAGGCTCTACGGTGGATGCCCCTTCGGATTTAGCATGCCCTTTCTGAGAGTGACGACCACTGCATATGTGACAGCTGTGTTTCCTTTAAGTTGCTTTGCTACCCTGTTAGTCCAGGAGTGGGACCAAAGAGGCAGGAGGTGGGGGTGAGTGACACAAGTAGTACGATGGCCAATCAAATCTCTCAGGTGGAATTAGCAGGGATGGGAGACAAGTCCCAAACGGTGAGGACCAAATCATTTTCCTCAAGTGGGGAGCTAGGGTCACCCTCTCTGGTGTGACTGATAACTTGTGACCAGTGTGCTGGAAGCCTCTGCTTACCTCTGCCATTACTTGGTCATGTCCTCCACATTTCCAGGTTCTGCTGGTTCAGTCAATGACCAGATATTTATGGAACACCTGCTTGATACAAGGTACTGGACCGGATATTTTAGGGAAATAAAGATATGTTTAAGTTATAGGTTCTGCCCTTTAGGGATTTGTAATCTAATTGGGAGAGGGGGCATTTTTCAGGTTGAAGTAGGCATGGGAAATATCCATAATATAAAACAACATTGAGCATGAACATAATCATAAAGGGAGCCTAGCTACAAAATATTGTGGTTCAGAGCATTAAATTCAACCAACAAAAACTCTATAAACTTTGATTTAAGCCACTCCTCTGTAAGATGTGACCCAATTCCCAGAAGATTTTAAGCTTCTCTGAGGAACTCAATAAATAGCAAATTATACCGCAAGTCACAATATCTGATGTTAACTCATACTCTGATATCTCTAGCCATCTGAATTATTAAGGGCCTCTTTTCTAGGACTCAGTAAAATTATTTGTAATGAAACCTAAAGGATAAAAAATAGTTCACTGGAGATATTCAAAATTGTCTTATTTGAGTGAAAGTCGGAGACATAAAATATTGAAAATATTTTAGCATTCAGATGAACAGGCACCCATTCCTGCAAACTGCAAGTTAAACCTGGAGAATTTACTTGCTTCTGGCCAGAAAAAGATCCACGAATGACTATTAATAGATGTAATAGTCTGGTACGAAGGCCATCCACCAAGAGGTACTAATTCTCCAGCAAGCACGTCCAAGGCGTCCAGTTGATTACCGAAATTAGAAAGGTTCTTTGAATTTAAAATGACTGGTACTTACGAAGGAGCCATAAAATCTATAAAAAGCCATCATTCATGTATCTTCACCAACAAACCAGGAAGCAGCAGCCGCAGCCTGAGTCCTAAACTTGGAAGCCCTCAGGGTTTGCAGTGTGACTCTGGCTCCGATTCCTTGTCAGTATCCCAAATCACTCTCTCTGAAATAATTATACTAATATTATCTGCCTCATAGGAACATCGAGAACCGAGAGGCGTTGAACAAAGGAAATGTTCTAATTTTTAGTGAGCCTAATTCTGACATATTTAAAAGGGACTGTCAGTGTTTCACCACATGAAGGGAATTTGCTGATGTCTGTCCTTCAGGAGGTAAGCAACCTTGTTGTGAATTGTCTAGCCCCACAGTTTCACATTTTTTGTCTGTTTCCCTCAGTGCAGTTTAGAACACAGCCTTCAACTGAGCACACGTTTCTTTCTCCTACAGATGGCTGTCCTGGCATCCGTCTTTCCAGTTCACCTCTGCCACCACTCCTTCCACCCCCACACTGACTTCACTTTCTTGACCTCTCTCTCTGGCTCCTCTTCCTCCTCCCCCACCTAGGTGAGTGATCCCAAGGGAAAAGGAGTCCTCTAGTTACTTGTCCTGGGCTTCTCTACCCACCCTCATTGACCTCTTGGTTGTCCTGGCTCTGTTGGTCCTTCATGGGATCTCCATGGAGCATCTCAGCTTTGCCTTGTCCCTCAGGGAGCCTCATCCTGGTAGCTACACTAGCCTAGACCCCTTTTGGTGCAGTTGAGGAAATGCAATAATTCAGAGTGAATTTTTATTTAAAAAATAATAAACAGGATGCAATTTAAAAAAAATAGTTGAGAGGGCCGGCCCCATAGCTGAGTGGTTAAAGTTCCACGCACTCCACTTCGGCCGCCCTGGGTTCACAGGTTCAGATCCCGGATGTGGACCTAATTCACTCAGCAACCATGCTGCAGAGGCATCCCATATACAAAATAGAGGAAGATTGGCACAGATGTTAGCCCCGGGCTAATCTTCCTCAAGCAAAAAGAAAAAAAGTTGAATTTATAGATTCTGGATTTTGATCCTGAATTAACCCCAGATTTGCTTGGTTGGAACAATTTCTGCATCCTCTTCCTGGATCCTTTTCCTTCGTGCAGCCCAGCCTGGGGTGGATGCTAGTCTTAGCTATGTGGTTTTTTTAGTCCCTTATGGATTCCTGGTGACCCTGCTGCTGGCTCCAGGGAGATTGAACTCTCCTTGATTTTGTTTTTTTGTTTAGTCCCTCAGCTCAACTCTCTGCTCTGTGGTTCTCAAGAGCTCAACAAGTTCTCTTATTCAAAATAAAACAAATAATAACCCAATGCTCACCTTGATTACCTGCTTTCATCCAGGGCTGTGCTACATGGTATGGGGCATACAGAGAAAAGCAAGATAATTGCCGGAGTAGCTCACAGCCTAATGAGAAAGAGGGACAGTACCTATATAGTTGCAAAAGAATAAGGCAAAAGCTTTGGCAGACGTCTGACTTTTTTTTTTTTTTTTTGAGTATCTGACATCTAGACCTTCTTTTTATTCTTGAGGTTCTGCCAAAGATTGCATCTTGCTAGGCAGCGCTTTCCTTCACCTCATATAAACTACACGAATTCTTTTCTGTTCCCGGCCATAAAGATGCAGGCATGTGACCATGCTCAGCGGATCTAATGCTGCTCCCTAGGATTTAAATCGTAATGGAAAGAGAGAAAGATACAGGGACTATTGAGAAATGTTTTTAAGGTGGTGGCCTCAGCACTGAGTCTAGAAACCGCTTTTGGTTTCAGCCCATCTACCAGTGTTTTCTAGGCTCCCAGGAACTACTCAACATCTTCCAATATATATTTGTTTTCTCCTTAAGTTATTCAGAGTTGTTTTGTTTTGTTTTGCTTGAAATCAAGAACTTTGAAACAGAATTTAATAGTGAAGAGTGTGATACAGGCAACAGATCCTCAGAGACGGGGAAAACTAAAATTGACAGGACAAAGTTCCTTTCGTATTAGTTATCATGGGATTCTGACAACTCTTAATATGAAATGGGAGATACTATTTAAATTGCCCATTGTCGTCTTTAATAAAGCACTCATTGAAGGCAAGATTTGGGGGACCACGTTACTGCAGACACAGAACAGTATGAAGGGATGAGAACTCAAGAGCGGTGTGTGGAATGGTTTCCTCCATATTAGAAAACCTAAAGAAAGAGGACAATAAGCCCAAATATGTAAATCCTCAGCAGAGATTGCACCCCCTTGACCTCATATGACCTTACTAAAAACCTCTCTTACCGCCTGAAGCTGAATGGTTGAGGTAGCCCAAAGCCAAACTCAAAGTTGATCTAAGTGGCTGAATTACTTTAGTGAAAGCTACAGCTTTCTCAAGTCTCCTACACGAGTGGATTTCAAATGTTTTTGACCACAACCCTTATAAGAAATATATTTTAGATCATGATCCAGCACACACACGCACAAAGCTGTCAAGAAACAATATTTACCTTTATTATAACCAAAGTGTCCTGCTATTTTTTATTCTGTTCTATTTAAAAAATTCTGGCTTGTGAACAACCTAATTGAAAAATCCTGTGTTACAGGAAGACTTTGAATGAGGAAGTGTGGGAAGATATGAAGGACTCAGAGAGGTAGCTGGGCTCCCAGACCCCCAGTGAACCTTCCGTGTCAGTCAAAGCAGCCCAGTTTCCCATGTCGTGGGGGGAGGGGACATACCCTTGCTTGAAGACTCTACAACTCCCTTGCAATATGAAGCCAATTCTTCTTAGGTTTTAGCCATTTACTACCCTCTAACCCCTCAGCCCCACCTATGCTTGTTTCTGAATCAACCAGAGTCAGATCTTAGCATGAGCCGGGAGGCTGATAATAAAGGTAAGCCAGGAAGAGGAGGCATCCACAACAAAGAATTACAGGGCATTGTTAATTTCTACCACCAAAATCCTGGAGAATATAATAAATCCTGATGGAATTCTTTCCAACCAAGGAGGAAGAAATCTAATTTTAAATCAGACTGAATTTATTGATAAGGCTGGGCTTACCAGATATTTTGGAATCAGGGCACTGGTTTCAGCAGCTGTGAATCATTCCAATTTTTAGCTTGATTAGTTGACCAAAAAAAGCTGGCTTCAATAGCAGTGCAGATCAAATGAAATTGATGTGCTAAAAATCCTTTGTAAGCTGGTAGAAGAAGGAATTCAAGAGCCAGGAATCCTGGAGTGACCTGATCATGAGTAATCTGCCAACCGCCAGCTAATTATGCCCCCCTAGGAAGGCACAGAGGACCCTCCCTTTGCAACACCTTGAGAAATACACTGGTGAGGGGAACCCTGGATCTTTGAAAAGCTCTTAGTGACTGTTCTCTGAAGGCCAGAATTGCAATGGAGATGTTGTCATTGAAATGAGGACTTTGATTTCCGTGGTAAGATGAGGTTGAAGAGACCCTGTCCAAATGCAGACTGAGCGTGGTTTACCAGACTAAGCAGCAGGCGGGGCCGGCAGTATGTTTCCTTCACAATAAAAGGCAAGTTGCTGCCGTTTGCACCCCAACCATTAAGAGAGACAGTGGCTGATATTTATTGAATATTTAATGTGCCAAGCGTTGAATCCTTACAACAACACTATGAGGTAGGTACTTTTATGATTTCCATTTTACAGTTGAGCAAAGTGAATCCAGGGGTTAAGAACTTTGCCCGAGATCTCAGGGCTACGAAGCTGTGGAGCTAGAATTCTATCCCTGGACAGTTTGGCCCCACGTCCATGCTATACTCTCCAGAGTTTGATTTTGGAGGCAACTTATGCCCAGAGGCGGCTTTGCCATGAAGCTATTGAAGCTGAAGCTTCAGGGACACTCTTCTGCGTGGGCCCCTGCCAAGGCCCTAGGAGAGCCCTAGGAATGTATATATGGTCATATGTTGTAGAATTTGCAAAACTAAAATATTTTAACTGCAATTTGTTACGACTGCTTTCTTTTTGACTCTGGCTTCTGGATCTCACTTCCCCTCGCGTCAGGTGGCTCTGGAGGGGCTGTGGGCATTTTTGAGGATGTGGCTAAGGGGAAATTGAGTTGGGGATTCATGTAGTTTAGTTTAGTGGGATATATTTCTGTGGTTTACAGCCACTCTGCTGACTTACCTGGTGTCATGAAACTGACACCACTATCCTAGTTTTAAACTGCAGGGTCAGAGGTTGTACCCACCTGTGAATGTGCACTGTGGAGCCCAATACAGGAAGCACGTGGGATGTAGAGGGATGGAAGGTTTGAAGTGGAGCCAGAGCTCGATATGGAGCCAGAAGCTCGTCTATGGAAAATTCTTCCCATCATCGGATGCATATAATCAGAAGGATATTGATTCAGTTTTCATAGATGCTTAGTGAAGAATGAAAGTTCTCTTCTGTTAGGCATATACTTGATGATACAGTATATGTAATTATAAATGCACCATATACCTTTTTCTTTTTGCAGAAATTGTTGAAAATATAGTTTATCTTAGAATAACTAAGATATAATAATAGAATGCTTACGCGTGTAGAGTATAACTTGAGAAGTCTGTGTGTGAAGCCATATGTTTAATGGAGAGTTGTCTGCCTGAGACACACAAGTGGAGAGGATTTATCTACCAGCCCCCAGCCCCATTCCATTGGTCAAGGGTTGCCCAATGGGCTGTAACTTCCTCACATTTAAGGGTGTGGCCTGAGGCAGTTGGTTGAGCAAGTTCCTGCAGGAGACCCAACTGAGGCAGAGAAGGCCCTGTCAGAAAGCAAGTGATACACAATGCTCTCAGGTTGCTCACGACAACAGCTGGAAGAAAACATGGCCTAACAGGGTGTGAAGTGGAGTCCATGAAATGAATTTTGTTTTGCCTGCCACACTGTTGATGCCAATCACCGAGAAGGTGAGTTTGCAAAGAGAAGGGATTTAATCACAAGGCAGCCAAGCAAGGAGGTGGGAGAATCATTCTCAGATCCACTTCCTGGGAAATGGAGACTCAGGCATATTTGTGGGGTAGGGGGCAAGGTGGTCTGAGCTGTGGGAATAGATGATTGCAGGTAAGGAGATGTGAGGTAGTTGACGATCGGCACAAGCGTAGTCAAGCTTCATGGCTCTTCATAGAACACATGTTTACAAAATGGCGGTGTGCCCATGAACTGAGGGTGGAGTTTTTAGCCTTTTGACGTCACAAAGATCACTTATTGGACACCTGTGCAGGCCCACTTGATGAGTTAGTAGTCTCAACTGGCCTGAACTGGACAAGAGGGTCTTAATTCCTGAAAAACAGGTCAAACACCTATTACCGTGGTGACCCAGGCACCAGGGAGATGTCATCTATAGAAACCTTGTGGGAGCCAGATAATATCCTGCCTAAGTAGCACAGTTAACAGTGGGTGGGCAAACGCCTAAAAGCTATAATTAGGAATTGCAAAGAAAAAACTTTGTAAACCAGTAAAAAACTGTTTACCAGTTTCAGAAGCATCCCGTATACCCGTCAATGAGTGTCATCAAAGATGATGTAAAAGTAACTCCTGCATAAGACAACTGAAATGCCCTAAAATCTCATGGTTCAAATAGGAAAGAAACTTGAGAAAGCGTTTCTTAAGTTTTATCAATCCTAAAAAATGTAAAGAACTTTTCTAAGCTATCAATAATAAAAAATTTTGAACCATGCTAGAGAAAATAATTATCTTTCCATGTTTTTTGTATAGAAAATATTAGTCATAGAAGAGTATGTAGCCAAAACTTCAGGAAAATTATAGAGATGATCGGGCATCTGATGTTTGTGTATTTATCAACTTTCTAAAACATTGCAATTTGTTTAGGTTTCATACCTAAGATTATATTAGTAGTTTATAAACGAGCTCGTTCCAAGTTTTCTAAGCACGGGCCCGCAAGATCTGGATCTGCCTCTGGATCAGAACTCCCAAATGTGGGTGCACACACCCACACACACATGCACGCACACATATGTTTCCCTATGTAAACTCATTGGGCTTTGCTTTTTACTTTGTGTGTAAATATGTAGGTCTTAACTCAAGTGCACATTTCTAAAGGGAGAGCCTCTTAGCAGAGTGTAAGGTGCGTGGTAAGACCTCAACCAATAACTTTGTAATTGATAATTTACTGACTCAAAATGTAGGCATGGATTCTCAGATTCCTTCAGATTCGTAATGCAGCTTCTTTTATTTTCCTCACCGGTTAGGAGTTTCTTCCTTGCTTAGTTTGATTTTAACTTGTTGGGAGTTTATTTCACAGAAAAAAGTCATCCCACAGTGAAGAATTACAAAAACATGGTCAAATCGTTGCATTTCTCTTCAATTTCATGATCTTTAAC